TGGTGTTTTCGAAGGAAGTTGTTTCGCAGATTGTTCATCTACAATTGGTCCTTTCTGCAGCTTCCGTCTCCCAGTTGATCAGATTGATTTCTGTCTATAGCAAGGTGTTTTTGAGCTGATCGTTGAAACAACGGCGTGGGGCTCCACATGGTCTCTTGCCAGATGCGAGCTCTGAGAAGAGGATTTGTTTGGGCAGACGGATGTCTGGCATTCGGGAGAGGTGTCAGGCCTATCGAAGTCTGTGGCGAGTTATGATAGTTTCTAGGCTATATTTGCGCGGAGAACTTCGTTGTTTGTGATCCGGTCCTGTCACGTGTTCCACGGGATTTCACGAAGTTTAATTTGATGGAATCTTTCGAGTTTTCGGATGACTCTTCGGTAAAATACCCAGATCTCACAGGCGTACAGGAGAGTCGAGATTACAACAGCCCTTAAACGTCTATTGGAACACCAGCTCAAACCAGACCTCAAGTGGAACTCATATATACAATCTATTGTTAAAGAGTCTGGAAAATGGTCGGTTCGTTGTACCATTCCAATAAGTATCTGACTCCCGCTGCGACACTTTATCTTTACAAGAACCAGATCAGACCAAAAATGGACACGTCCGGGATGGAGATGCTCAGTCTTCACATGCCTGTCTTGATAGAGTTCAAAAGTGTCTACGTAACCTTATGGTTGATTAATTATTTTCCGACCTAAAACACCTTTCCCACAGAGGAAACGTCGCGTATTCCATCAGTAAGAATTAAGTTCTACTCGGATAACTTCTTCCCAAGAAAAGCTGCGTGGAATAGACTCCCAAGAGAATGTTTTCCTGATCACTACAATCCTAATCTCTTCAAGTCTAATGTCAACCGTTATCTTTTGTGCATAAATTCCTCTACTTGCTTTCTCTTATGCTCATACAACAACACTCAGTAACTCTACCTTGAGCAGATCTTGAGCCTTGTATAAAGTAAAGATTAGTATGAAAAGAATTTCCATGGTAAATGATCTGATGAATTACATTCCACCTGCCTTGACATTCACAGATAAGATCAGCCGTGCCATGTACACTGGTACGAATTATTTTCATTCTCTTCGTATCCCATTAGTAAGGAGGAAGCTCCATTCGGACAGATTCTTACCAAGAACTGCTGCCTTGTGGCAGGATGTTTTCCCAATTACTACAATCTTAACCTTTTCAAGTCTAATGTAAACTGTTATCTTTCCTCTGCGCTTCTTGATTTCTCGTACGCTCATACAACAGCAAACAGTAACACTCTACTTTGAGTGGCTCTTGGGTTTTGTATTGGGTGTACATTAGTAAGAAAAGAATTTCCATGGCAAATGTTGTGACGATTTACATACCTTAGTTCCACCTGCCTGATATTAACAGATAAAATCCACCATGCCATGTGCACTGGAACGAATCATTTTAATTCCCTTTGTATTCCATTAGTAAAGAGGAAGTCCCATTCGGACAGCTTCTTGCCAAGAACAGCTAATTTTTTTTTTTTTTTTTTGATGGAGGGAGGGGACAAAATCCCAAGAAGATGCTTCCCCGATCACTGTAATCCTAAAAGTTATCTTTCTTACATATTCTTTTAAACCACGCCTTCTACTCTTATTTGTAACAACCTCAATCTGAAACCCTCTAAGTTGAGCGGCTAATGGGCCTTGTACCGAGCGTGTCGCCTCCTACTCGATCGAATCTGTAACTCCCACAGCTGATCGATGAAATAATCGCTTCGATCCAAACCCTGCCCTATCCCACGTTGTGTTTACTTTTGATCATAAGGCTGGCAAAGATCGAATCGTCGTTGGGGATAGTCGTATTGTGTTGGTCCAGGCAGAGTGAAGACGCAAGTAAAAAAAAATATTTGAATAAAATTAAATGCTTTTATATACGTTCTTTTGTACAGTACTTGGTTAGTGTTGACGTTAAAATTTATCAGTTCTTCATGCAGAAAATTATCGACCCAACCCGCTTCTTAAGTTGAACGTGACACTTCGTCTGGTTTTAGTTAAGTCTGGCACAAGGCTTATGTCGAAGTTTCTTTTCAGGCAGGCAGTCACGTGATATCAGGTAACGCGGTCGTCTCTCGTCTCAGCGTCTGCAACAACTGTTCTCGATCGCTTCGATTCCTTGCATTTATTGACATTCACCTAAAATCGGCGCAGGGCATAACGCGGTTATTCGTTGTTTCCCGTATCTTCCAAAAAGAGCCCTTTTGTTGTCTGGCTCTGGGAAATTAATTACATTTCCAAATCAGGAGATCTCCTTTTTCCTATGGGTAACGGTCACAGTTATCGATCCGCCCCGATAACGTCTCCCTTCTCTTATTGGCATCTCACATCAATACTTCCCAACAGGCGTGGGCAATTCCTCCACCTTCCTCGGTATTTCACCTACGCCTGCCACCTTGGCTACCCTTCGACCAATTTGGTTCTCAACTGTGGCTTATGGTCATCATTTTTTTTTTAATTATCATTTCAAATTTTGATTACGCAAAATTTTCCCATCCTGGAAAAATCAGATATTTACCAGATGGTTCTCCAGTCAGCCATTCCCCCAACCCTGTCAGGATCATTGCACTCCAACCACAAGGAAACACTATTATCGAGTTTTGGTTGTTACAGATCAGATCTTATTCGACCTACTTATTTTGTGTTTTCGTAACCGGTACTTTTGTGCTGGATCATTAATAAGTTGTCAGCTAAAAGATCGCCACATGGCTTCTGGTGGTAATATCGCCTTTCCTTAAGTAGTTTTGTTTTAGATTTAGAGAATTAAGCTTTTTTTTTTTTTTTTTTTTTTTTTTTTTTTTTTTTGATGAGAAATCTTCATTCTTTCTCTCGGTCTGTTCATCGTTCTATTCATTAACCCTTGGGCACCTGGAGGTGGTGTAATGGTTAGCAAGCTTGTCTCGCTAGAACAATTACGACTGAGTAGTGAGTTCGATCCTCACTGGGTGCCCCATCCTTTCGTCTGTGTGCCACATCTGAGCTACGCTTGGAAAAGGGCACCTCGAGGTGGTGTAATGGTTAGCAAGCTTGTCTCGCTAGAACAATTACGACTGAGTAGTGAGTTCGATCCTCACTGGGTGCCTCATCCTTTCGGCTGTGTGCCACATCTGAGCTACGCTTGAAAAAGAGCACCTCGAGGTGGTGTAATGGTTAGCAAGCTTGTCTCGCTAGAACTATTACGAGTGAGTAGTGAGTTCGATCCTCACTGAATACCCCATACTTTCGGCCTTGGGCCACACCTGAGCAACGCTTGGAAAATCACTATTCATTAACCCTTTCTTTCCATTTACCGGCACCAAATAGTGCCACAAGCGAATAATTAATAAAAATAGAAGTAATAACTGGCACTAATTGATCTTAGAAATTCAAAATTAATATTAGAGTTTAATATTAGATCATATTTAACTTTAACTGCTATTAGACGTTTAAGGCAATGATGGCTGTTGTAATCTCGACTCTCCAGTACGCCTGTGAGACCTGGGTACTCTACCGAAGAGACGTCCGCAAACTTGAAAGATCCCATCAAATGAAACTTCGTCAAATCAAGCGAAACGCATGGCAAAATCAGATCACAAACAACGAAGTTCTCTTCCGCACAAAGACAGCTGGTGAGAAACTGTCATGTCTTACTACCGACTTCGATGGGTCTGACACCTTTCCTGAATGCCAAACATCAGCCTACCCAAACAAATCCTCTTCTCGGAGCTCACGTCTATCCGATCGGAATATGGCACAGAGTAGTGTTTAAAGTAGTAATCCTACGCATACATTGGATAAGTTACAAAAATTGTTAAGTCTCTCTTGACAATTCTCTTTTGGGCTTTTAGAGCTTATATATATATATATATATATATATATATATATATAATGGAAAATTATTCTGAAAAAATGTATTTGGTAATTACTGTTTTTGTGATCAACAAATAAATGGATTTTATTTTTATAGGTTTCTTTTTTTTCATATATTATTCTTTATTGAATTAATACTCTGAAAATGGTGTAGATTAGCGTTTCTTAACTGGCGAGCCCGAGCGCACTAACGCACCTCAAGTTAAAAGAAGAGTAATTTATAAATAATTTTATATTTAGAAAATCTGTATTTTTTTAAATAAATATAGATATGGCTTCTATGTCGAAGTCAAGTCTTTGTAGTTTGATATTTTAAACTGGATGTTAAATCACTTAATCTTTAAGAAGGAGTGGATAATCCATTCCCTTTTACCTTTCTCAAAGGATTTAAATCAGTCTTTATCAGCCTCCCTAAAAGAAAATATTCTTTCTAAATCCCTTTAAATGAAAACTGTACTGCTAATCTTCTTATCTGCTAATCTTCTTATCTGCTAATCTTCTTTAGGAATGCTAAACCAAAATTTCATGTTTTCAAATTTCATGATTCCCGTCTCTCTTTCATGTTTATAAATATGGGACTTTTATTTAAAGTCAAACATCTGAAAAGAACACACATTTCACTCAAAACGTGTTTCTTTATCAACCATCTTTACACCAAATTACTGAACTGATTTTGTATCCCAACTGTTTTGTTTCAACCATATGTATGTGTGTATGTGTGTGTGTGTGTGTGTTAATCCATGAATACGCTGAATTTATTTTTAAATGGTTAAAATTGTCTACCGGACTTTATTCCTTTATTCGTAGACTCACAATTAATCAAAACCGTACAAATAAATATTTATCTTGGGTTTCCTTCAACACAAAGTAAATTCCTAGAATAATTCTATCTATGGGAGATGAGTGATACTTTTGCAAATGGAAAGTTTCACACAGTATAGAGATTTTCATTAAATGGATTTCTACGCGAAATAGTTCCATGATTTTTACGAAAGAGATGTTTTTGAATAAGGAAGGCCACCGGAAGGGATGAGCTTTACAAAGCAGGGCCTGCGATAGGGATGCCATTGAATAAGCGAGGCAAGTGAAAGGGATGCCAGAGTATAATCAGGACCTATAAAAGGGATGTTTTGTAAAAATTAAGCAATGCGGGAGAAATGCTTTTTAATAAGATAGGCCTGCGAAAGGGATGCCAGTGAATAAGCAGGACATACAAAAGGGATTCTTTGTATAAAGTAAGGCCTCCAAAAGGAATTCTTTTGAATAAGCAGGGTCGGTGCAATGAATGCTTTATACAAAGCAAAGTCTGCGAAAGGAATGCTTTTCAATAAGCAAGGACTGCAAAAGGAGACCAGTAAATAAGTAGGGTATGTGATAGGGTGCTTTGTATTGGCCTGCGAAAGAAATGCTTGAACGGAAAAAAGGTGACAGTGAATAAGAAGGGCATGCGAGAAGAATGTTTTCTCCAAAGCAAGGCCTGCGAAAGGAATGCTTTTGAATAAGTATTGTCTCCACAAAGGATGCATTTCAAAAATCATGTCCTTCAACAGGGATGCCAGCGTATAAGCAGGGCCTTCGAAATAGATGCTTTATATAGAGCAGGGCCTCAGAAAGGAATGCTTTTGAATACTCATGACCGGCGAAAGGGATGCCATTGAATAAGTAGTGCTTGCGAAACGGGTGATTTTATATAAAGCAGAGCCTCCGAAGGAGATGCCTTTGAATAAGCAGGGCATGGGAAACGGGTGTTTTGTATAAAGCGCGGCCGGCGAAAGGAATGCTTTTAAAGAAGAAGCAAGGCCTGCGATAGAGGAGCCATTGAATAAGCACGGCATGCGAAAGTGATGCTTTGTACAAAGTAAAATCTGCGAAAGGTATGTCATTGAATAAGCTGGGACTGCAAAAGGAATGGTAAATACAAAGTAAGGAATGTCAGTGAATGCGAAAGGGAAACATTTCAATAGGGAAGGCTATCGAAAGAAAAGCTTTTGAATAAGCAAGGGCTGCGGAAAGGGTATCATGGAATAAGCCAGGCATGCGAAAGGGTGCTTTGTATAAGGAGGCCCTGTGAAAGGAAAGCTCTTGATTAAGCACGGACTATGAATGGGGTGCCAATGAATAAGTAGGGCATGCGAAAGGAATGCTTTCTACAAAGAAAGGCCTGCAAAATGGATGGCAAAGCTGGGACTGCGAAAGGAATGTCTTGTACAAAGCAAGACCAGTGGAGGGAATTCTTTTGAATGGTCAGGGAATGTGAAAGAGATGCTTTGTAAAAGTAAGAGAAAGGGATGGCTGTGAATAAGCAAGGCCTGCGAAAATGATGCAATTGAATAATCAGGGCCTATGAAAGGGATGCTTTGTCCAAATCAAGGCATACAAGAGAAATGCTTTTTAATAAGACAGGCCTGCGAAAGAGATGCCAGTGAATAAGCAGGACATACGAAAGGGGTGCTTTGTATAAAGTAGGGCTGCAAAAGGGATATCATTGAATAAGCATGGACTGCGAAAGAGATGTTTTGTACAAAGCAAGTCCGGCGGAAGGAATACTTTTGAATCCGTATGGCCGGTGAAAAGGGTGCCATTGAATAAGCAGAAGCTATAGAAAGGAATGATTTTGAATAACCAAGCTTGTGTAAGGGATGCTACTGATTAAGCATTGCCTGAAAAGGGATACTCCATTTAAAGACCTCTGCAATTGATGATATTGAATAAGCATACCCTGCCAAAGGAATGCCATTAAATAAGCAGGGCATGTGAAAGTGATAATTTGTACAAGGAAAGCCTGCGAAAGAAATGCTTTTAAATAAGAATGGCCTGCGAAAATGATCCCAGTGAATATACTGAGCATGCGAATGGGTTCTTTGTATAAAGCACCACTGCAAAAAGGTATGCTTTTGAATAAACTTCTTGCGAAATAGGTGCCATTGAAGAAGCAGCACCTGCGAAAAGGTTGCATCGTACAAAGTAAGTCCTGCGAAACGTTTGCCAGTGAGCAAGCAGAACATACCTACGAAAGGGATGTCATTGAATAAGCTGGGACTGCGAAAGGGATATTTTAGCATCCCGATACCACTTTCTTGTCGGTATTGAATTTTGTACAAATCTGTGCAAAAAGTGGATCAAAGAACTTACTCAGCTTCATACATATTTTCAGGAAATATCAACTTCTAATTGGTCAATAAACACACAAGTGGGCGTTGAAATCTACCCACGTACAAGTGTTTTTCCAGCGCGTCACCAAGTCAAGTTTTCCCGCTCTATTTCCAGGATCCTGTCACGTGGTTACATTCATTATAAATATCAGACACGAGTTCGTTCTCTCTCTCTTTTCTTCTTTTGTTGATTTCATTCGCCTACGAAAGTGTAACCTTAAAGGATTCGCGACTCGTCAGACGTTATGAAAATATATTCACACACGCACACATGCACGTACGTACGAAGATACGAAACATTTCCAAACCAGCAACAAGAACTTTTCTCTTTAAAATACTCTTCCAAAGCTAAAAGTTTATTCAGTATTTCTCAGCTTTATTATTCTTTCAACTCTCTAATAGTGAACATTTTGAGCGACAAGTTCAACTTTTATGAGCTCGGATAAAAATATTTCAATTTTATTTGTAAAATCGTTAATTCAGTCAAAGAGATATAACACCAACAAAAATAGTAACTTCTTCTTGTGTACATCATTATTATACAAATATTAATAGTGTTGTTGTTACAAAACCGTTTTGTGTTCCTTCTTGTAGTTTCATGCTTTGTGGTATTTTGCGTTAAATATAAATCGAGAGGCCATATCAACTAACGGCCTCTACAATATCTTTTTAAAAGCAAGGCCGGCAGAAGGAATATTTTTGTATGAGCAAGGCCTGCGAAAGGTGTGTCTTTAAATAAGCATGTCATACGAAAGGGGTATTTTGTAAAAAAAAATAAAGGCTGCGAAAGGGATGACATTGAATAAACAGGGACTGCGAAAGGGATGTTTTATACAAATTAAGGCTTGCGAAAGGGATGCTATTGATTAAACATTGCCTGCAAAAAGGATGCTTTGTTTAAAGCAGGGCCTCCGAAATGGATGATTTTGAATAAGCATGCTCAGCCAAAAGGATGCCATTAAATAAGGAAGGCACGTGAATGGGATAATTTGTACAAAGCAAAGCCTACGAAAGAAATGCTTTTGAATAAGCATTGCCTGCAAAAATGATCCCGGTAAATATACAGGACATGCGAATGGGTGCTTTGTATAAAGCAAGCCCTGCGAAAGAAATGTTTTTTATAATCATGGCCAGCAAAAAGGGGTAGCAGTGAATAAGAAGGGCATGCGAAAGGTACACTTTTATAAAGCGAGGCTGACAAAAGGAATGCTTTTGATGAAGCGGGTACTGCGAAAATGATGTTTTGTCTAAGGTAGGGCCAGCGAAAAGAATGCTTTTGATGAAGCAAGGACTGCGAAAGGGATGTCATTGCATTCGCAGGGAATGCAAAAGGGATGCCATGTACAAAGTAATGCCTGCGATAGGGATGCCAGTGAATAAGCAAGGCCCGCGAAAGGGATACCATTGAATAAACAGGGCATATGAAATGTACGCTTTGTACAAAGTAAGGCCTGCGAAAGGTATGCCAGTAAGTAGAGCATGCGAAAGGGATGCTTTGTTTAAAGTACGGCTTGTGAAAGGAATACTTTTGAATAGGTATGTCCTGCGAAAGGGGTGCCATTGAATAAGCAAGGCCTGAGAAAGAGATGCCATTGAATAAACAGGGTCTGCGAAAGCGATGTTTTGTACAAAGGACAGCAGAAGGAATACTTTAGAATAAGCAAAGGGTTCCAGTGAATTAGCAGGGCCTGCAAAAGGGATCATGACCCTCCACAACTTTCGATCAGGACTTTTGGCGATCATGACTCTCCACAACTTTTTGTCTTTGTAGCCCTTAATAAATATCTTTTTGCTTGCTCTCCCAAACCCTGCTACACCATCCATTCACTTATGACCCCCTGGTAGGTTCTGTGTTGTTTCCCCTTATTTTCAATCTATCCTGCGAGTATGAACTCTTCCAAGCTTTCTTACTTATTATGTGCGCTAAAAAGTTCAACTGTCCCTTCGTGATGTTAAGTATGATATCCTTTTTGCTTCCATTGTCACTAGAAATTTATCATTGCTCACAATTGTTCCATGATATTTTTAATATCCTTTTTTAATCGATTCACTCCAAACAAGGCGATAATGCCACTAAAACAACGATATCGTCCAGTTCTTATTTTATAAAAAAAATAAATAGTACTAAAGTAATAAATGTTCTTACGTTGGTGCGACTACACATGCGCACGAACGAAGGAATCATTTTATTTTTATTATATACACAGGGTGTATAAAAAATACTTTTACAAACTTTGGGTGGGGGTTTCTCACACCAAAATAACGACAAAAGTTCAGATAAACATATATCCGTAAATCCTTCGTTTTTGACTTATTAAGTTTAAAGAAAGTTTACGGTAGATGACGCTGTGCTGTCGTGTACACTAGGTTACATTTGTCATTCGTGTAGATTTGTGACTAGTCTGTCTTCAACGTTTAACCTGTGTAGTATTGTTAACTGAGAAGTGTTCTGTTTAACAATGGCAGGATATTCATATCGTGAGCAGGCAGATATGAATTTTCCATACGGCCGCGCGGATAGTAATGGATGCTATGCTACACGGCTGTATCAGATTACGTTTCCATACAGAAGACAGCCAAATCATTCAACCTTTGCTGCTGTTTATCATCGCGTTGCTAAAACAGGATATGTGGCGCCACAAACTATCCGCTCGTACGTCTGCCCACAATAAACACATTCTATAGACTGTCGGGGACGACCCAGGTATCAGCACACAAGTGACCCCAGCATGTCATACATCTCATAGTACCACATGGAGGGTACTTCAAGAGCAGCTCCTGTATCCGTATCATTTGCAATGTGTGCAAGGTGTGCTCTGATGACTTACCACGGGAGAACTTTTGCCGATGGTTTATTGCAAAACTGCTGATTTGTTTCTTCTGTCTTGTTTATGGATGAGGCAACATTTGAAAGAGATGGAATAACAAAGTAACACAACCAACATTTGCGGGCGGATCCGAATCCCCATGGTTCAATACAGACTAGACACCATCATCATTTTACGATTAATGTGTGGGCTGCAATTGTAGGTGACTGTCTGGTAGGTCCATATGTTCTCCCAGAACATCTACAAGACACACTTACATACCTGCTAGAGGATGTACCCCTGCTAATACGAAGACGCACGTGGTTCACGCATGATGGGACTCCAGTACATTTTAGTCACTTTGTTCGCCATGCACTAGCTATGGACATTTTTTGGTTTGGTGTCAGGGATCCACCCTCAAAGCTTGTAAAATTATTTTTGGATTGTATCTTGGATTGTAAATGTAATTGTACCTACATAAGCTTTAAACTTAATAACTCAAAAAACGAAGGATTCGCGGACATATGAACTTTCGTCCTTGTTTTGGTGTGAGGGACCTGCCCCAATGTTCGTAAAAGTATTTTTGATGCACCTAAATATATATATAAATATATATATATATATATATATATATATATATATATATATATATATAATCGATTTAATTTAGATCATTTTTTATCTTTTGAAAAAGAAAAAGAATCTAAATGAAATCGGCTAGATTATATAAAAAAAATAAATTAATAATTCCCAGCATCCCTCATGTGCGCGCATGTGTAGACGCACCAACATGATAAAATTAGTTCGATGATAGCTGACACTATTTACATTATTCGGACTATTGTCCTCATCTTTGTTGCCATATTTATCACAACGCTTCGGCTGATGTACGCCCGGCCTTCTTCAGGTAGTTGGAAACGTTGTAATAAATATGGCAACAAAGATGAGGACAATAGTCCGAATAATGTAAATAGTGTAAATAATACCTCATCTCAGAAATATAGACAGACAATCATCCAGCTGAGTTTATTCTTACGAGTAGAACAGAGTGAAATCTTCTAGCATACTCTATTTTTTACCCTTTACTTTAAATCGTGTGATTTCAGAAAATCGATTAAACAAAAATTGATTAGTTATTTATTTAGTTTCTTTGCTTATGCTGCATTGTGTTTTGCAGCCAGTTGTGCAAATGCTATCATCTGCGTTTTACAGTCACAGCTGTGAGCAACATTGCGTATCAATTTGCTCCTTAAAAATCATATTACATCATGATCTGAGCACAGAGTTAACTTGACGCAACTGTCAAAGCTCTAATACAAGAGAAAAGTTTATCTTTCTCACAAAGACACCCGACATTTTATCTTTCATTCATCAAGGTAAGTGACCTTGTTTCGAGATTTTTTCAATTACTTTTGTCTTTCTTACTCACGTTAAATCATAAATTGACGTTAACAAAACATGTCTTAAGATTGGAATAAAATTTAGCGTTATTTTATGGCATATTTACATCAGAAATAAATGGGATTGAAAAAATTAATTATTTTGCATTTTCGACACTTAAAATTCTACAATACTTACTAGATAGTGACTATTTAAAATAGCTTACAAATATTATTCGAACAATTTAAAATTTTGTGTATGGAATTTTCATGCAAAATTCATCGACAATACACAAACATATATATATATATATATATATATATATATATATATATATATATATATATATATATATAACTGAAAAGTAAATCCTTATTTTATGTATGATGGACTATCCTCTCTAATTATAATATTTATGAGACGGGAGAGTCCATCATACATAAAATAGGGAGTTACTTTTTGTTATAACGCGCTTCGTATTGCTAATATAGATAATGTTTAGTCTAATCGCCGTGATGCCTGTATTAAACGGCTTCTTTTTTTCTTACTTCTGATCTGCAGCTCTTTATGGTTATGGACTAGTTCATATACTTACCGGGGGTGTACTGTTTACTCCACAACATACCCACTTTTGAGATCAATACTCTTTATATATATATATTTTTTTTTTTATTAGTATTAATATCCCCCTCCACTTTCTGCGGAGTTCACCGAAGTACTTTGTAGCGTTTCCGTCTCGGATCCACTTCTTTAGTACGCTTTCTTTTTCTTGGTCTTGTCCTTGTTGGTTCCACGATTTGTTGTGGTGCTGACACATCGAAAACATCATATAGCATTTTTATTGGTTCTTCCAATGTTTCAGGTCTTTCATCGATTAATATTGTTTTCAGATGATTATGGTGCCTTTTATTTTCAAATCTCTTCCATTTTACCATGATATTATGTCGTCTCCCCATGTTTCTTCGCCATTCTTATATGCTCTAAAGAACACTTTATCGCTGACCTTGAAACGTTTGGTGTCATTTTTGTTATCCGTTCGACTTGGCAATAACTTGTCAAACACTGATTTTACTTTTCTAGAAAACATTAATTCCGCCGTCGATATGCCTGATGGTGTATTCGGGTTAGGTGTTACATGATAAACTCTCAGAAAATCTTGAAGGGCTTCCTCGTTTACTTTCTCAAGACTTGCTTTCTTTAACGCTCTTTTGAACGTTCCCACAAACCGTTCCGCTTATCCGCTCGATCTTGGATGATATGGCGGTGTCGCTATATTTTCAATGGAGAACATCTTACAAAAGTCTCCGAAATTTTTACCCGTGGATTGCGTTCCGTTATCAGAGACTTTGGTATCTGGTGCGCCATATCTCGCAAACAGTTGATGCAAGAAATTCACTGTCACAAAAGATGTTGGATTTTTGCACTTATATATTTCCAGCCATTTAGTGAAATTATCAACTGCCACAAGACATTGATAGAACCTGCAAAATATATAAGCAAACTTGACCACGGCGTGTCTGTCTTTGGGCAATGTTCTAGCTGTGATGGGTGGTTTTGATGCCAGAGCACAACTTTTGCAAGCTTTCACTATTTTTTCAATATCTTGGTCCATTCTGGTTCAATATATGAAACTTCTCATCAGAGATTTCATTCTTGAAATACCAGGATGTCCGTTATGAAAATCCTTCAATATTCACTTCTCTAACACACTCGATATTACAACCTTTTGCCCGAACATTACTTCACCGTTGCATAGCGAGTAACTAAATCAAAGCACCTTGTCTGCCGTATTCAATGAAGTATATATATATATATATATATATATATATATATATATATATATATATATATATATATATAGTAGCGGTTATCGGTGCAGAAAGAGGAACCGGACGAGTAAGTAATGAAAATTTTAACATTGACTCAATGTCGTTGTCGCTCCACTTCAAGTCAGTGAAAACGTCAGGGGAAGATGGCGCAGTTTGTTGCTCTCCTGGAGTCTAGCGACAGCCATGTTGATAGCAGGCAGAATATATATATATATATATATATATATATATATATATATATATATATATATATATATATATATATATATATATAATACTCCTTAAACTTTTTCTCTTTTTTTTTTTTTCCTCTTTTCTTTCAATAGTTGGCATTGGGACTTCCGGTTTTCTCGACATATTTCGTCGTTGTCAATTTTTGAGCGTTCTAG